GTATTTTTTATGCATGTTGTCAACATAGACATAAATAAAACAGGTTAAAGTTAATGGGTTAAAGGCCTAGGAATGCATAGAATCTGGAAATGAGGGAACTGTGTAGTGGTATTAGATGCTAAATATTTGTTGATAGCTCCCCCTTTACAGCTAGGGTTCCAATCCCACTTTGGGTGGATTATTATTTTTGATTAATTTTAAAATAATGATCAAACACAACAGGAGGAATGTAAAAACTGGTAAGTTATAAATTAAAATAAGAAAAAAATGGAGATAAACCCATTTTCCTTTTTCATTGCAACTGGAACAAGCAGCAATATGAGTATAAAAAATATAGACTTGGGTCAATTTAAACATTTTTTTCTGACAAGGAATAGCTATGTATGTGAGTGGAAGTAAGTACCTGTTTGAAATATATTTTCAGTGTAGGAAAATTATAACTTTCATCCTGTTACTTTCTGTTATCATTAGCCTGGTTGAAAGTTAGGCATGACCTTATAACATGCACGTGTGCAGGGGAGGTTCAACAGGGTTTGCAGCTGCTTATGGAATATAATGTTTTCTACTTAGTCTATATTCTTGAGATGAAGCATTATAATTTTTTGTCTTGAAATAGTCACATGCAATGGCTTCTGTTGACACTTTGTAATTGAAAGTCTGAAGCCATATTGCTACTGTCAGGGTTTGGAGGCTTGGTTCTTTACAGTAAGTGCCCGTGACTTGTTGGCAATAAATTTCAACAATAAACAGACAGCAACACAATAAACTTGTTTTAAAATAATATATTAACCAAAGTCAAACTTATATACAAATGTTTATTACACTATTGGTTATCACATTCGTATTCAAAGCTTTAAATAATTGCCTCTTTTTTTGTCAAAGTCCATGCAGGCTAGTTCAATTATTTTAGAACACAATTTACAAGGCAAGTTATTACTCTCTGCTGTGATATTACAATACAGTCTGTGGAGGATTACTTTAAAACATTAACCATTCCTTTTTATGACCACATTATCAGTAATATTTCTTCCAGCTTTGTAAAGCAAGCAGCATCAGTACATAAACTTATGCCATCAAAACTCACACAAGAGTTTTCTCTGACATCAGACAGGTTACAGATGTTTACAGGGAAGATTTGCCAAATCAGAACAAGCCCTAGGTACTGGCTGACTGTTAAAAACACGCTTAAGTGTACCATATATCTTTATGTTACTGAAAGTATTTGCCACACACTGCCACTAAGTTCATGTTTTAGTGAACCTTCGCCATCTGCTCTCCACTGGTTGAATAACTATCTGAGGTTTACACAAACTGAAGAAAGACTGATTGCTCTAGCTTTAATACATAATCATTATGACTGCTATCAACATTGAAACTGTATGTAAGTTATTTGTGGAAAAGCACCCCAGAAGAATTGAGAAGAATATCGAACAATTACCAAAATCTTTATCCTTCTTAAAAAGACCTACCACTAACCCTACTTCTACCCCTCAAGTGACTTCAAATCCCTACTCCATTCCCATTACGAAAACTTTTAGGGCAGATGAATAGAGGCTCCAGTCCTTGAACATCCCTGGAGAAATCATCCACCACTAAATTCATGATTTTGATTGACTGAGCTCACTCATTTGAGGAACATAATTTGTGTAGTTAGAGGATTAAAGTAAACAATATGATGTGAGCATGATGGATTATTGTATTATTATTTTAGAAATGTCCTTGTCCAAAAGCTTGGACATGCATTATTGTGAGATAGACTCAATCAGTATTAACATTCAGTTTTACTCTATGTATTACTAACCCTTATAAAAGAATCAAAAGATCCAAGTTCCATGACAATAATATTCCCCACACTATTACACCACCTCCAGTAAGTGCAACATTAAAATAACATAGACATAGTCAAATGACTTAATTTAGTATGTAATTTTCTCCCAATTTATAGTCTTTTGGTTTCCAGAGTTTGAGCTCTAAGACCCACTGAAGTTGTTAGTTCTGAGTTAAAGATTTAATGTACTGATTGTTGACTACCCTGTAACAATTTTTGTGATACCCTTCACAACTGGATACAATTTGGAAGTTAGTTAGTGACCACTGTTGAAAAAATCATTCCTTTAGGACAGGGTTTGCAATTTTCAAACCTGTTAGTGGAAAATATATTTTGTTTTGTTTGCTAGTGTTAATTCACGGATTAATAACATCTGTGTTTGAACAACAGGTTGCTAATGTGGTCTTTGATAACAGCATTTCTGCTTAATGATCATCTTTAATTATGCTGCTTTGAGTTTCTGAAATATCTTTGCTCTTACTCATTGTTTTGAAGACTAAACATAATATTACATCTTTTAATTTGCAGATTTAAGCAGTCAATTGAAACATTATATAATTAGTCTATTTTGCATATGTAAACAAATGGAATGTTCTACTAAAATATGTGTGAGTTAAGCCTATTAAGTTGACAGTCCATGTATCTAGGCAAGTATATACAGTTACCACTAAGATTTAAAATCTTCTTTAAAATTCATCATATTTACTATCAGTATTAAAATATTTAATTTTCCATTTCATGTTTTTATATTTTCTATGGAAGAATTTCAAAGTAACATAAAATTATTTATAATATTATCACAGAATGACTACTGATTAATGGCGTTATTTAGAATTGTTTCCAAAAAAAAAGGAAAATTTGTAAACTATGCATTTTATAGAACTAAAATATTTCAGGTTTTCACATTTTTAGTGAATTGTTTACTCGTAAAACTGATGTAATCTAGGAATTATTAGTCATGTAGAAATCAGTAGTTTAATTATTATGAACATAAAAAAACAGCTGCACTGAAACAGTGATTTAAGGTATATGAAATTATCTTAGTAACATATTTATGAGGTAGAACATTTTGAAGTAATAGAATTTTAATAAAAGAGCAATTGGATGAGGTACTCATGATTGTTCACTGTAATTAAGCTTCAGAATTCACCTATCATTTGACTGGTCAATATATATGTATATAAATATTTTTTTAAATATCAGTTAGAATATTTTGTGTGATTTGGTGGTTCATAATTTGATATTTATGTAGTTCACATAGATAAAAATCAGTAGCATTACATCATTTTTAGTTAAGCTTAAAATCAAAGATTTAGATCACCTTTTTTGAATGCTTACACATGAAATAATGCTATATGTAGCACATAATGATCTCTTGAAGATGTCATTTATAAATTTAGAAATAGGATTTAGATTTATTTATTTGAAGTAATATTTTTAGAAATTGTTCATTATGAAAAAAATAATGATACACTGAAACACATTTTTTTACTTAATACTTGAATATCTTTGTGTACATCATTTTCAGCCTGGCACAATGAAACAAAGCTTTTTACTTAATACTTGAATGTCTTTGTATGTACATCATTTTCAGATTGGCACAATGAAACAAAGCTTTTTACTTAATACTTGAATATCTTTGTATGTACATTATCTTCATACTGACACAATGAAGCATAAATGTTGTTACTTAATACTTGAACATCTTAGTATGTACATCAGAGTGGCATAATGAAGCATAAAGTTTCTTACTTTATATATATACACTGAGTGGTCACAAGTAAATAGACACCTAATTTTTCATCATTTAACTGATTTATGCTAACTAATTT